GCTGATATGGGAAACGCGAAAGGTGCATCTAATGTCGGTTTCTGCTATGATAAAGGGATTGGAGTTGAAAAAGAAGAGCGTATGGCATTCAAATATTATCAAAGATCGGCTGATATGGGCAGTGCAAAAGGGATATCTAATGTTGGTCTTTGCTATCAAAATGGAATCGGAGTCGAAAAAGATGAACATAAGGCATTCGAATATTATCAAAAATCCGCCGAGTTGGGTGACATAATCGGGACATTCAACGTTGGTAATTGCTATCATCATGGAATAGGCGTTTTAAAAGATAACAATAAGGCGTTTAAATATTACAAAAAATCGGCTGAGATGGATGATATAGAAGGAATATTTTGTGTGGGCGTTTGTTACGATGAAGGAATTGGGGTTGAAAAGGATGAAAATAAGGCATTTGAATTTTATAAAAAATCATCTGAGATGGGACATGTAAACGGGACACATAATACCGGTTATTGTTATGAAAATGGAATTGGTGTTGAAAAGGATGAATATAAGGCGTTCTTATATTATCAAAAATTGGCTGAAATGGATGATATTGAAGGAACATTTATTGTTGGCGTTTGCTATGATAAAGGAATCGGAGTAGAGTGTGATGAAAATATGGCATTCGAATATTATAAAAAATCGGCCGAGATGGGTCACGCAAAAGGAATAAACCGTATTTCTGAATGCTACTATAATGGGATTGGAGTTGAAAAGGACGAGCATAAAGCATTTGAATATGTTAAAAGATCAGCCGATATTGGCAATCTAAATGGATTGTATAATACTGGTTATTGCTATGAGCAAGGTATTGGAGTTAAAAAGGATGAACGTAAAGCATTTGAATGCTATCAAAAATCTGCAGAAATGGGTCATGTAAATGGGACGTATAATATCGGTTATTTTTATGAACGAGGAGTTGGAGTTGAAAAAGATGAAAATAAGGCTCTTGAATATTACCAAAAGTCAGCTGAGATGGGTGACGCTTGCGGGATGCACAAGGTTGGTTGTTGTTACGAGAAAGGAATCGGTGTTGAAAAAGATAAACATAGAGCGTTTGAATATTATCAAAAGTCCGCTGAGATGGGAAGTGAAGAAGGAACTAATAACGTTGGTTATTGTTATCAAAATGGAATTGGTGTTAAAAAAGATAAAATTAAAGCATTAGAATATTATCAGAAATCTGCCGAAATGGGAAGCGTAGAAGGAATAAACAATGTTGGTTATTGTTATCAAAATGGAATTGGAGTTGAAAAGGATGAACGTATGGCATTCAAATATTATCAAAAGTCAGCAGAGATGGATCACATAACTGGAATTTATAATGTCGGCCATTGTTATGAGCAAGGAAGTGGAGTTGAGAAGGATGAAAATAAGGCATTTGAATACTATCAAAAATCTGCTGAGATGGGTAATGCCAGTGGGATAAATAAAGTTGGCTATTGCTATCAAAATGGAATTGGAGTTAAAAAGAATGAACATAAGGCATTCGGATATTACAAAAAATCAGCCGAGATGGGCGATGTAGAAGGAACATTTAATGTTGGCTTTTGCTATGATGAGGGAATTGGAGTTGAAAAGGATGGACATAAGGCATTTGAATACTACCAAAAATCAGCAGGATTGGGTAGTGCTGATGGAATGCATGCTGTCGGAGTTTGCTATGAAGATGGAATTGGGATTGAGAGGGATGAGCACAAGGCATTCGAGTATTATAAAGAATCAGCTGACATGAATTATACGAAAGGAATATTTAATGTTGGTGTTTGCTATAGTGAAGGAATTGGAGTCGAAAAGGATGAATATAAGGCGTTTGAATATTGCCAAAAATCAGCTGAGATGGGTCATGCACATTCCATGTACATGATTGCAGGATTCTATCGAAACGGAACTGGCGTTGAAAGGAGCTTAGAAATGGCTATGCATTGGTATCAGATGTAAGCGACTTGTTATTAATCCATTTTTTAATATCATTATTCATAACAAAAGAATATTAAATAATTAGGGAAAGAAATCAGTTGATTGGTAATAATCGTTATCTTTAGTTAATAATGAATTATTTATAAGCAAGTATACACTAATACATAATTTTTTAGAAAACAATGAATGGATGCATGAAAGCTCTGATGTTGATAACGAATTAAAGGAAATGCTTGACGAAAACAAATATCCAGTATCATGGATTCCTTATAAGGAGTTTAAAGATATTGAAGAAGTAGGAAAAGGTGGATTCGCAACTGTATATTATGCTATGTGGAATCTCAGAGGTGTTGCGCTTAAATTAATCCACGGATCAAAAGGTTATCATAAGGATTTTATAAAAGAGGTAAACTTTTTATATTTGATTTTATTTTTTGATAATATACCATGTTTAATTTTATTATATATTATTGGTGTAAAAGTTAAAGGTTTATTGTGATATTGGTTACAGAAATCCCACATTTTTAAAATTTTATGGAATATCAAGGGATGTTGTTTCTAAAGATTATATTCTAGTTATGAAATTTGCGCTAGAAGGACCTTTGCGCAAAAATCTTAATTCAATAGCACAAATGGAATGGAAAATAAGATTAAATCTCCTGCTTTGCATTGCTTCGGATCTACGGATAATTCATTCTCAAAATCTCATTCATCGAGATTTACACAGTGGCAATATATTACAAGATACCTTAGACAGTGCATACATCGCAGATTTGGGTCTTTCCTTGCCAGCCGAAATAGCATTAAAAACCAAATCAGATTGTATTTTCGGAATTTTACCATACGTGGCACCGGAAATTTTATGTAATAAAACATATACTCTAGAATCTGATGTTTACTCATTCGGCATGATTATGTGGGAAATTTCATCAGGAAGAGCTGTTTATTTTGATAATTCATCTGAATTTAAAATTAGAGTTTATAATGGAATCCGGCCTCCGATCATCAAGGGCACACCACAATGTTATGTAGACTTAATGAGAAGTTGTTGGGATAATAATCCTGAAAGTCGTCCATCCGCGGAAAAAATTTACGAAACCCTCACTGAATGGCAAAAATACGAAAGCATTCTATCCGAATTATACAGATCTGATGATTTTGAAAGTTCGGAAAATCTGAAAAATACTTCCGAAATAGTTTACAATAGCGAAATAATTTCACATACTAAGGAAGATTCAACTTTGATGTATTTAAAATTATAACTACTTACCGGGTTTCTTTTCAATATAATTCTGGATTATGGTTAAAACCTCGAATTATAGAAATAGATTACGTAGTGAAAATAAATTATTACGCGTCTTGTCTAATACCGAATATTTTGTCATGGATAATCGCCAATATTGTTTAAGATTTAAATATACTTATTATAATATTAATAAATAATTCGAGAAATTTTATTTAATAATTTTAATAAACACTATAAAAATACCTTATGCAATAATATTCTTACTCATAAATCAAGACGTAGTGAATATATAATAATTATTTGATTTCCCATTAAAATATATTTACATATACTATAATTTAATGCAATAGATAAATGATAAGTTTCTTTTATTTTGACTAATATAAACACTTTAAATTAAAAAAAAGCACTGTATCTACAAAATAAAGTACTTAAAAGTTCCAAAGGCATATTTTCTGACGAATATTCACTTATATGAAGTAAATATTAAGACAGAATTGCCTCTTTACATTTTTTTACATTTTTTTTTTTAATTAACGATGATTTATATACTGCATTTATGGTTAATTTTATTACTTCAATACGCGACACGTTAGCGAATTTAGTTGTATTATTAAAGTAATTGCTATGGATTAGTTATGATCGTGTTATCAGTAGCAATATTATTTGTTTACAATTTGTTTGCTTTATTTTCGAATATTGGAGTTACAATAAATTTAAAATTAATAAATTCTATATGTAACAAGCTATAGAATTATGGTTTCCAAATGCACGTACTGTACAGTAAATCAGTAAATGCAGCCTGTACACAGAGATCTTGATTTACTACTATGTAAAAGAGAGATATAAGATAATTTATGTAAATTTGAAATAAGCTCAATATGAGCTCGAAACAGTATTCATGGTCTCTACAATATCGGACCTTGATCAAGTTGAAATGTGTGGGAAAAGGCAAAGCAATTTAATAAGAAAAAAAAAATATTTTTTTGTCAAAAACAAATGAATTTGATATCTGTAAAAGAAACGATTTTTGCTTTATTAAGAGTCATAAAACTAAAAGTAGACCATAAACGCATCTATCATTAAATACAGTTCCACCTGCACGATGCACGACTACAATAAGTACAGCACGTAAATGTGTTTTACAGCTTGACGCTTTACTGCTGTGTAGTGTCGCGGGCTAACCAGCGAGTCCGTCGCTAATCGCGTAACCCGAGTTAAATCACAGGGAGGTGCGCAGTGTCTAACCTCGAATTGAAACGTCTAGTACCATGATGGTCAAAGGAGCAAAGGCTGAGGCGTAGATTTGACCGAGTCAACGGTAGGTAATATTCCTTTCGTTTCCTTTTGTTTTTTTTTCTTTTTCTCGAAATAGTTTTTTTTTTAAGCTAGCTTGGCCAAGTTTATTAGCAAAGTTTTACTGTATAGGTATATTTGACCAGAAGAAAACAATGATAAGCTAGTAAACTAATGATAGGTTAAGAAACCACCTCATGGCCGAGCCATCTCCAGACTATATCCGGGTATCGACCTAATATTTTATTACGAAAATAATCACGATCATGAGTTAGATTAAATGGAGATATAGATAATGCACTTACTTGTTTTTCTGATATTTCAGTTTTTGGCAAATTATCCAGACCTGAAGAGTTAGAGATATAAGACGAAGGGATAGGCATTGTGGTGGATTCACTTCCTTCAGAATTATTCTGGTCGTGACATTTTGTCACAGTTTTTGAAGTCACTTCATTTATGATATGCTGAATTTGAGTATTTTTCAATCCCGAAATTGTACTTGCACTATATGTAATGTATTCGATTTTATCTATGCCTACTCCTCTATCACCAAATAGCTTAAGAATTTTTCTCGCTCTTTCAGTTTTCTTACGCAAATTTGCATCTGCGATATTAGGTAGAAAAGGTTTCATTTCCTTATATATTTTTGATGTTGCTGTTTTATCTTTAATCCGACCATCTGCTGTAAGGCTTTTAATGTTATTTTCGAATTCTAGAGAATAATAATACCAATTTAAAATTTGTTTTTGACCAGATTTAATTGCTTTATCAAATAAGTCAGATAAACTTTGCACCGAATCCGGAGCCATATACGTACTTATCATTATTTAAATATAAAGGATTGATTTCGGAAGAAACAATATTTTTTGCTTGATCATAGGTCATCTCTTGTATTAAACCTTCTACGATTTGATTGTCTGATTCAAGTATTTCGGAGGTAATATCAGAATTGTTAAGATCGTGACATTCTGTCACGGTTTTTGTATCATATAAAGATGCTATTGTCTTTTCAGATCCCGTTGAAGCATCCCGAGAAGCGGAAGCTTTCATTACTATGTAATAGCTTTTTTTTTCATATTTCTCTGCCTTATCTCATCACTAACCCTTTTCTTATTTTCCGAATCTAAAAAGACATCAATTTCTTTATCTTCCAATAGTTTGGATTTTCCGAAGCAAGTTTCATTAAGGTTAGATGTATTGAAAATTGTGTTAACTACCTGTTCCGAAGTTACTAAGTCAGTGCTAGTTATGGATTGATCCGCTTCGTGGTGAGTTGAATCTTTAATCTGCACATTTTCACCATTTGAGCAACTCTTGTTAGGTAATGGAGTGGAATATTCTGGAGATTTCTGTGAAAGCAGGCCTTGTGGAGCTAAATCATTAGTAACTGTTCGATTTTGCTTTTCAATATTCTTAACAGCTCGTTTTAATTTTGCAATTTCATTCTTGAGTTCGGCATTTTCTGTTTAGCCATAAGTCTGGCGTTCTCCTGTTTCAATAAATCAATTTCGGATTGCATGTTTAACGATAACTTTAATACAAATGTGAATTATTCAAAATATATTTATTATCATAGATAAAAACCATGACATTTTGTCATCGGAATTATATTTCTTATTGTCTTATTGCGAAATACTTGAGCAGTGATACTTGGAAAAAATTGTATTGCGATTGTGGATTGTAACAAATTTCGTGATGTCTCAATCAATATTCTGAAAATGAATTAAAATTTTAAGCAATTGCATTACTTGTATTTTTATTACAATAATTGCATGACATTTTACTAAACAGTTACAGTTGGTATGTAGTTTGCATTGCCCCAATTATCTATTTTAACTTCAATAATTCTGTGACTTTTTAATCACAACTCATACTTGATAATTTTCACGTTTACCTTTCTTTATTGGACTAGATGAGGGTTCACCGAACAATCCGGATTGCTCACTGTAAACTGGAATTTTTCTTTTGCGTTCTCTATGTAAACGTGAAAGCGAGACACCATTTGTGTGATCACAAATTATTTTCAACGTAGACTGAAATAATATGAATATAATAGTGAGATCTTGTATGTACCAACTGCAACGATAGTAGGCATATATTACCCTGATGTCCAACATAGTAGCATAAAAGCCTTCAAGAACTGCAAGCGTTTTTAAAGTATTGGGCATCTTTTTCTGAGAAAGCCTTCCTAAGCGTAATACATTTGTAGCCTTACAGTCCATGCCATAAACTTCGTGGATCCAACCTTAACATGAAAATAAAAGTAAGTTAGTCACAAAATTCGAAATTTAATTATTATATTTTTTTTTTTACCTACCCCACGATTGAATTCCAAGAACATATGTACTATGAAGCTCATTTCCAGATGCATTGGGATTTGGTTTAAAAAAATTATACAGAACATCGCGCATTGCTACGGAAAGATCCGCTCTATCCTCGTGAACTTTTTTGCGATGTGCAACAGGGAGACCACCACTTCCAAGGTCAATAATGGCTTCAAGGTTATTAATACCATTTTTCAAAGTACCCCGAAAATCGCACTTTTGGCCTATGCGTGCTCGGAGGACTATTGAGCGTCCCTCGTTTCTTCGACGGGCAGAAGCCCAACAAGCAATTTCCCCTCTATAGGATTGTAAAAAAATTAATTACTACTTAAATATTTAACCATTGTATTCTTATTAATACTTACACGTCCATTTTGAGATCACGTTTGTTTAAAAATCTATTTGTTAACATATTTGTAAATGAATTGTCAAAGTCGGCTTCTGATATGGGAACTTCAAGATCCTTCAAATTTTCGGCACTGTGATAAAAGATCGGAAAATTTAGATAAAAATTATGTGATGTGCTGTAATTTATCAAATGTCAATAAAAGAAAATAACTATTATATTTAACTCACTAGGTAATAACGGCACGTCTTAATCCATTAAAGATCTCCTTTTCCTCATCATTGAATTTGACGTTTCTATTTTTTTCTATCATCTCTGGAGTCAAATCATCAATCGCATTGATAATATATTCCTCATTTTTTTTGGATACCTAAAAATATAGTATTAGTGCCATTTTAAAAAAATGCTATAACCAGATAGATCTTTAATCAACCTTTTCCACCTCATCGAAAAAATATTCAACAACATCTGGTATATCTGATTGAACTAATTTTACTTCTTTTTTAAAGCTTTCATTTATTTCTTCCCAGTCATCCGCTGAAAAAAAAAGGTTTTATTTGGGTGTCTTCTGTAAATCGAGAATTTCCAGTACGCGAGGCTATAAAGAAATTCTAAGATTAAATATAATCATCACTAACTTTTATGACCTCCGCCAATTCAAAAAACTTACTTCAAACATTTATGAGCCTCAGGAATTGTCTTAACATATTTTGCTAATTCGTCTCCAA